CAGCTTTTCATAATTTGGATGTTATTAAAGTGTGAACTGAAAGAAACTAAAGGACAGTGGAAAAATTGTGTAAAACCAGTTATATTACTTTGTCAGCCCTGCTAACCCTGTCTTATAAAGTTTTATAACTGCCATTTAGAAAACTAGGTATTTCTACCTTTACCTGTAATTAAAGAAGGGCTTATAGGTAAAAACAATGAAAGCTTTAAGATTGTTAACTAAGTTATTAACTAAATAAGCTGTTTTAATGTTAAAACCTAGAATTGTTCATTGATTACCATGTGTGAAAAGGAGGGGATTGGGTAAAAGCCTTATCCAGATTGGTTCTGCCCATTCAAAACAGTTCTTCATGGGATATGGGGGTAGGCAGGCAGGGGCACCAGAATCAGCCCCTCCCTGGGGTACATGGCAATTCCTCATATTTTGTAAACTTGCCAAGGTCCCTGGAAACCATTTGTGTGGGCAAAGTCATCTGCCTTGAGAAAAGAACTTGTTTGGAGTTCCTAAACAATGAACTTGGCTTGCTGAGAAGTTGCAAGTTTATGTACAATAGATAGAAATGATTTCTAACGATTGGCTTTTACACCAGGACAAGTTTAAATTTGAGAAGGAAATTTGTTAAGTGAAATTTATTGCAACTCCATGGGAGTAAAATTAACTGTATCTAGCTTTAAGCTGTGATTTGTGAAACTTGCTATTTGAGGTAAAAGTCTCTTGGGACTATAACTAATTTTGTTTTGAGTTTGAATTTGGGTATAGTCTGCATTAAATCAGTATCTGAGAGAAATGACACAAGCTACTCAGAGGGAATGTGATACTGTACTGTTAACAAGTGGAGGTCTGCAATTGAGCAAAAGCTGTGAGGACAATCTTAGCCTCAATCTAGGATGGGATCCTCCTGGCTCAGTTTCCCCATTATGTTCCTTTGAGAAGGAATGTTTCCCACCTGACTATTTCTGAGTATGGCTATGATGTGGAATTGATACTGCATGATTGGAGAACTGTGACTCTTATCTGAATTCAAACAGAGCTAAGGATATTCTATCTTGTCACATTTGGCATGTCACATGTCCTTGCCTTTTCCTTTTATAGTAGATTTCTCTGATCAGAGCAAGTGGTCAGTAAAAGACATGAGTACAATGCAAGTATGTGAAATCTTGCTGTTTTGATCTGAATTTGTAGTCATCCCATGGCCTAAGTAAGAGTAAAATTAGTGTTTGAATTTATCATATGTAAAAGATTCAATTTCTGAAGTTTAATTAGAGAAGGATAAACAAGCTTGTGGAACAAGATTGTGTAGCTATTCAGTTGTGAGGTTAAAGTTAGGAATCTCTTTTGTTTAAGGCAGTTTTTGCAAGAAACTCCCTCCCTAACATAACCACCTCAGAGGTCTTTGCCATCCCTTTTGTACTGGCCACTCCTTTATGGGAAAATTTTTTTTATCTCAACACCTGTTTCTCAACAGGGAATTATTCTCTTGCTTGGGAGACAAGCTGACATAACTGAGCAAGAGACAGTATGGAAACTGCACAATCTATGAACACTAAATTCTCCCTGTTTCTGACCCTGCAACTTGCCCCATGATGAAAAATATTTCTTAGTTTGTCTACTGATCAACTCAACCCACACTCTCTACTACAACCCTGCTAAAGTTCTCTCGGTTTACCAGTCTCTTCTAGACCCCAAATCTCTGCCTGACTGAGTTTTTCTGCTCTGCTGATTAAAAACTATACTTAGATACAAGGGAAGAAAGGCCTCTCTTTCTTTCCTGAAACAGGAAAATGGCTGGACTTTCAGGAACTCAATGAAACCCAGGGAACAACCTGACTTTTGGAACCCATACCACTGTCACCAACAAACACCCAGCATTCCACATATGGTAAAAAGCAAAACTCTCACTGTCTGGTGGCTGACTTGATCCAAGCCTTATTTTATAGATTAGGAAATGGATGTCCAGAGATGTTTACTGATTTGCCCAAAATCAGACGGTACATGGATGTCCCACTTAAGATCTTCCTTCTCTTTCCACTAGGTTTTCTAGAATACCTGCTCCATGGTTAAACTTGCTTTTCCTCAGTTAAACCTTTACCTTTTCCACTCCTTCCTTCTTCTCGCTCTCACCAAAACCTGGATCCCTCATGATGATCCTACATCCATGGCTACCTTTTTCTAATACTAGGTATATCCATACTCCCTGACTCATTGATCACGTTAGTGGAGTCAGAATCATCCTTGCTTTGCATTGCTACTTTCATAGTCTCTCCATCCCACCATCACTTAGTAACCTCTCCTCCTTGTGTTTTGTTGCTTATTTAGGTTATAAATGTCCATATGGACCTGTCTAGATGTGGCTCACAGAGAGGCATGGATAGACATCTCTAGTGTCTTCTCCACCCAACCTTCTCCAAGGAAGACTTTGATCCCTGCCAGGATATAAATCAGGAATCTGGGGACAGAGACTGGCCACCCTGCTCTCTTTAAGGAAAGGAAAGCTGTATCTATCTGTACCTTCTCCTATAACTGTGAAGATCATTCCCTTTCTCAAATGGGATCCTCTTAATACTTAGCCCCATGATACCCCAACCAGAAATCTCATTATTGCAGTATTAACTTGGATTGTATATGGGGAAAAAAACCCTAATACTTTAAATCGTCCCTTTGGGGGTTTTGTTCTTATTCATTACCTATTATCACTACTAGCATTCAAATGAACAGAACTGGAGCATATTCAAGTGGCCATCTGGATTTTTATGAATAGGCACCCAGATACTGAGAAAATTGTTAAAATAGTAATTTTCTAAAAACCAGTTTTAGAAGCAGCCATGGTCTCCAGCCACAAGCTAGAGGAAGGGAATCTAGAACCCTACCCCACTTAAGGTAAATGACTAGATGCTAGCCAGATAACCTTAACCGGGTGGGGAAAAAAAAAGTCTTTATTGAATCAATCATAGGTTTTGGACTAAATGTGGAAAAGTCCTTATTCAGTTTAGATATCTTTGAAAACTACTGGATTAACTAGAGTGAATACAAGAAGTGTATTCACATTGATTGAGGAAATTTGGTCACATTCTCTGGGTCATCTATAAACTAGCATACCAGTTCAGTACTCAGGGATTCAGGTGTCTGGCAGGTAATGGTGGAAGCCTTCCAGCCAAAGCCTTGAGAAGGAATCACCTGGGAGAAAAAGGGCCCTAGTCCCAGCTTTGATCTGGGTCACTGTTTCAGTCTGTCTCCTCTCTACTCTTGGCCAGAGAAGGACCGTGAGGACTGTATGAGTTTTTAAATGTACTCTCAAACTGATCGTCCACCTCATCCCTCTCCCCACTCCCGACCCCTCCCCCGCCTCCATAAATGCCCTATAGCTCCTAACATCTCAAGGATCAAATATTAGACTCTCTGTTTGGCATCCAAAGCCTTTCAGAATCTAGTCTCTTCTCGTCTTTCCAGGCTTCTTACACTTCACACCACCCACCGTGCAATTTCACTGGTTGTCCCTGAAACCTGGAACTCTCTCCCTGCTCTTCTCAGCGTCCCTCCACCCCTTCTCGGTTTGCTTCAAGTCTCAAGTAAAGCCCCACCTTCAGTAAGACTTTCCCAGGCCTTTTTAATTTTAGTGCATCCCTGCTAAGATTATCTCCAAAGGATCCTGTCTATTGTTTGCACCTAGATTGTTTGCACGTTGTCTCTGCCATTAGACTGTGAGCTCCCAGAGAACGGGGATTAATTTTGATTTTCTTCGCATAACCTGTACTTAGCGTGGTATACAGTAGGTGCTTAATAAATGTCTGTGGACTTATTGATTTGCCAGGCGCTGTTATATAAATAATGACGTTAACCAACAGATAACGTACCTCGAAAAGTCAAGGGCAAAGAAAGGCTATGGCCGGTTGCCTGTGGTGGGGAAGCAGACTGGAGTAGATAGAGCAAAATAACAGATTAGGGAGCAAAAACAAGCAACTCTTAAACCATCGAGAAGGGGAAGCCTCCGGTGTTCCTAGAAGGGACCCGGAAGTGAAAGCTGCTCACTCTATGGTACTGGAACCACAGCGAATGTGGCTGCCGCCGCCGCAGCTTCCGCAGTGGGTGGGTGTTGAGTTCGAGAGGCTCGCTCTCCGTCCCCGCCCCGCCCTCCTGGGGCACTCTGGCACTTGACTGGTCTGTTTGGGGCAGGAGCTACCGAGGGGAGGAGGGGACTGTGCAGCCGCCCCCTCCCTCTCCCCAGCCCAGGCTCTGCTGGCGCTGAGCGGCCCCGGCCCCTTGGCCCGAGCGAGGCAGAGCTCTGGGGGAGGGGGGGCGGACACAGAACCCGGGGGGGGGGGGGGGGAGCGGGGCGGGGGGGGGCGAAGCGGAGGGACAGACAGTAGTATAGTGGGGAGAGACGCAGAGACTGAGATCTCGGGGAAGAGAGACCAGAAAAGGGAGAGAGACAGAGACCTGGGGTAGGGGAGAGAGACCTCCGGGAAGAAAAAACAGAGACAGGGAGGGGGGCGGGGGAGAGAGAGAGAAGACTGACAGAGGGGACCCCGGGGAGAAAAGAGACTGGGGGGAGGGGAGAGATAGAGCCCCCATGACAACGAGAAATGGAGGGGAGAAGGGGGAGAGGCAGAGACCCCAGGGGAAGGTGGGGAGGAGACAGAGACCTCGGGAGAGAAAGGGAAGAGACCCCAGGGGAAGCAAGAGACAAAGAGACCCTAGAGGGGTAGCAAGACAGAGACAGACCCTGGGAAAGAGTGAGAGACCCCAGCCATCCTTCCCCTTCCCCATCTGCTCCAGCTATTTGGAAGTGAGCTTCCCATTCGAGAAGCCTTGTGTCCCATTTTCTCTGCCCTTCTGTTGCAACCTTGCTTTTCTTTCATTGAGTTGATTGGCAAAGTTCACCATTTCTCAGTGGTAACAATGATTTTCCATATGTCAGGGGTTTGCCTGAAGAAAAGAAAAAAAAAATCTGGAGGGAACTCTCCCTGCTGAAGAGAGCCTTCCCCCAGTTACCCAGGCCCAGGATGACTGAAGCATCCAAGAGGCTCATAGCTCTGGGCCCCCACCTCCCAGAGGACCAGAAGAGAATTCTAAAAGTGAAGGTAGAGGAAGAGCAAGCATGGGGGCAGAAAGGATCCAGATTTCAAGATCCCCTTCCACACACCAGAGACGTTTTCAGACAACGATTCAGACAGTTTTGCTACCAAGAGACTCCTGGGCCCCGTGAGGCCCTAGGCTGCCTTCAGCAACTTTGCCATCAGTGGCTTAGGCCAGAGATCCACACAAAGGAGCAAATCTTGGAACTGCTAGTGCTGGAGCAATTTCTGGCTATCTTGCCTGAGGAGCTCCAGACCTGGGTACAGCAGCATCATCCAGAGAATGGAGAGGAAGCTGTGACTGTGCTGGAGGATTTGGAAAGAGAACTTGATGAACCAAGACAGCAGGTGGGAAGGAGGGATGATTTTTTAGAATGTTTTATCACAGCCCTTTCTAAAAAATGATATCACTGTCACTTCCCAATGTTTCCCCCTCATCCCTGTCCCAGAGAACTCTCTCTAGTAACAAAGCACAGTTATGTAAACAAATCAATATATTGGCCATGTTTGACAGTGTGACCTCATTCCACTCCTATATTCAACCATCTCTTTTATAAAAATAAATTTTATCAGTATATTTTGTTTTTACATAAACTCTATTTCCCCAATATATCCCTCTTCTGTGCCTTCCACAAGAAAAAGAAAAACAGTTCAACAAAAACTTCACATCAAAAAAGTCTGACATATGACACACCCACATTTGAAACCAAGCTTGATGTAATATCACAGCATTCAATTTCTGTTGTTTTTGTTGTTTCTTACATTTACATTGTTGTAGTGATTGTATTGTTTTCCTGATTCTAATTACTGTGTATCAATTCATGTGAATTCTCATGCTTCTCTGCATTCATAATATTTATTAGTGTAGTAATGTTTTGTTACATTCATCTTTCACCCTTGTTTAGCCATCCCCCAATCAATGGGCATCTTTTTTGTTTCATGTTTTTTGCTACTACAAAAGAAGTGGTGCTGTCAATATTTTGGAGTGTATGAGGTCTTTAAAAAAATCCTTGACTTCCTTGGGGTATATGCCTAGTAGTACAATTTCTGGGTCAGACGGTAAGGACATTTTAATTACTTTCTTCACATAATTCCAGATTGCTTTCCAGAATGGCTGGACCAATTCACAGCTGTCTTAACAGTCTGTCTTCAAAGGTCTGATTCCTCAGGGGAGATTTGGGGGCATAGGTTGGAGTGTGGGTTTAACAAGGTAGCCTCTAAAGTCTTATCTAACTGAGATTCTATGAAATAAGTGAAATAATAGTTCCAAAGTGGAAGATATAGAATTTTAGTTACTTTATTTCTGGTTTAATCGATAACTTTATATCGAGCAAATAACAGTCAATGGCTGAATAGAACAGCTGATATATCAAATGAAGATTTTAACCAAATGCAGATGTTCTGCCACTAGAAGTCTATTTTATTGGACTAATAGACAAGTTATTTAGGCATCCATGCTGTCAGCATCCATCCAGAGTGGGCCTGAAACAGATTAAAATGTAACTGGGAAATGTTTAACAAAATAAATGTACAGTAGAACATAGATAAAGTTAATAATGTGTGGTTTTCAAGTAAATATGTGGCTGCAGGGATCTTTATGTACACTTTAGTGGCCTCCCTTTCAGTTTGAGCCAGACACCATTGATTTAGCTATCTGTCTGTCATCTGAAAATCAATTTAGGTAAATACAGAGAAGCTTATCACCAGGTTGGCTCTGGGATGGCAAATTGTTTAGCCACAGCAGCTTATGACACAGGTTGCAATCTTCATCAGTGGATAAAGTACTCACACTTAATAAGTCATTAGGTTAAAAAGTTCATTTGTAAATTAAATATTTGGAAGTGAGAAAGAGTTTTCCAGTGGAAACTTTAAGGGTTATTTTAATCCCACGGCAGCACAAAGAAGGGCTTACTTAGCCCTTAATGAAGCTGAACTGGACTAATATTGTTATGTAACATGATCATCATACTGATAAGTCAGTAGAATCTGGGTTCAAGTTTCACCTCTGCTACATACAAATTGTGGGTCACTAGGCACTTAACCTCTCAGTGCCTCAAGGGATCTAAGACCTTAAGTTGTAGAGAAGGTACCATTCTGCATTGATAGAGAAAATTTTTTATCAGCAGCTCCTTATGAGTGAAATCACAGGTCTAGTCCAAAAAAAAAATCACCATTTAGAGAGTTGCAACACAGGCTCCTAGTCCCCTTAGGCATTCTTCTTCCACTTTGTATACCAACCACAGCAGTTAGGGATCTGTAGCAGTAGAGAGGGGGTCTAGGTCTTGCAGGGTGACTTTTGAGGAACATAAAGGTCTGAGCATTTGGTGACAAGAGTAGTGGTTGAAGAACAGGAGAGAAAAAGAGGAACTTGAAGGGGATCTCAAGCATTATCACTGCCTCAGGAAAATATCAAAGAAGGAAGACAGTTCCTCCTCCTGTGCCTGTGGGGAAGTAAGTCACTAGATGGGGGTTGCCATTTGTAAATTGGAGATTTTTATATGAAATCTCTAACCTAATTATGTATGTTTCCACTTCTGTGAGTCCTATATATATTTTTTAGGAGACTGGGTCTCCCTGAGTTGCTTAGACTAGACTGGAAGGCCACTCATAGACCCTATCCTACTACTGAGCAGCTTGGAAATTTTGACCTCCATTTTTTATTTGGGTCAGTCCACCTCTGCTTAGGTAGCCTGTTATTCTACTGCTCCAAGGAGTTCACTTTATTCGTGCTAGACTTAGTGTGAACACCTAATTGGCATTAGCCCTCCTACAGCTGAAATCTCCTGAGCTCACCAGCCTCAGCCTCTCCAGTATCAGGAATTATAGGAGTGCATTGCCATGCCCAGTCCATATACTTTTGGGGGGGAGGGGGGTTGGGGAGGCAATTAGGGTTAAGTGATTTACCCAGGGGCACACAGCTAGTAAGTGTCTAAGGCTAGGTTTGAACTCATGTACACTTTAGTGGCCTACCTTTCAATTTGAGCCTGACACCATTGATTTAGCTGTCTGTCATCTGAAGATCAACTTAGCTAAATACAGAGAGGCTTATCACCAGGTTGGCTCTAGGGTGGCAAATTGTTTATCCACAGCAGCTTATGACACAAAGAAGCTGCAATCTTCATCAGTGGATAAAGTACTCACACTTAATAAGTCATTAGGTTAAAAAGTTCGTTTGTAAGTTAAATATTTGGAAGTGGGAAAGAGTTTCCAATGGTGTCAGGTCCTCCTGAGTTTTATCCGCTGTGCTACTCTATCCACTGTGCCACCTAGCTGCCCCACCATATACTTTTAATGAGTTAAAGTAAATCAACTTTAGAACATAAGAGATGAATTATTAAATTAGACAAATGGTCCATCTAGTAAACTCTACTATTTCTGAGTAGAGGACCAAAGGATGTTTTGTAGGAAAGTATAGTTGCCTTCCCTGATGTGTGTGTTTCTAAAGTATCCTCATATATATTATTTTCTACCATAGTTTTGAACCTAGTTAGGAATGAAAAAATAATTTTTAAGTGCTTACTATGAGCTAAGTGCTGGGGATAAATAGAAGAGAAAGACAGTCCCTGTTTCCTCAAGGAGCTTATTTTCTAATGGGGAAGACAACACATAGAAAAGGTTTCACCTGCAAATCAGAAGTAAAGATCCTTGGCCCTTTGTTTTGTATCACTTCATAAAAGTGTTCTATATTTACATTCTTCATATTTTTAAAGTGTTAATTGCATCATAAGTTTCTATGTCATTACTATATATTTTTATTTATTTTTTATATAAAATTGTTTATTTTAAATTTAAATACAAAATGAGAAAAGATAATACTGCCATGTACACAGCAGACCATAGGAGAGGATTCAATTATAAAACAATACATTTCCATTCCACGAAAACCTATATAATAAATACTACGTATTGTCTTCAGAGCTGCCCAGCTTTTCTTTGCTTCCCTGTTGGTTTTCTTTTGTTCTCTGCTGTGTCCTTTTTACTTTATTTTTTTCCCCTCTGTCTCCCCCTTCCCCACCCTACAGAAGGCTACAATTAAGTGTGAATATATATATGCATATACATAGATATCTATAAACATGTGCATATATACACGTTCGTTCATACACATATATGTAAGACTTCACTATGCCTATTTCCACCTGTCATGTTTCTGTTAGGGTGGATAGCATCTTCCTTAATAGGTCCAAGTCTTCCCATGTGATGTACCACATTTTAACAGACCTTTCCCCTGTTTTTAGACTTTTAGGTTCTTTCCAGCTTTTTTTTCATTGCAAATAATGTAGCTTTAAACTCTTTAAACAGATCATTCTTTTTACAGATCATTCTCTTTTTGTTACAAGTATTATGAACACTTAGGGCATATTCTCAGTAATGTAATTAAGTCAAAGAATATAACTATTTTTGTAACTTCAATTGTAAGCTGCTAGATTGCTTTCCAAAAAGATTCTAATAGTTTGCAATTGTATCAGTCATGAATGAGGACCAGCCTTTAATTATTTTTGCCAGTTTGATCAGTAAGAGATAGTAACTCAATGTTGGTTTAATTTATATCCTTCATTATTAGTATTTTTCAAGTGATTGCTAACAATTTATGTTTTCACTTTTGAAAACTGTTCTTTGACCATTGACCCATCTTTGTATGTTTTTAATACATTATTATGTTTTAAATATCAAGTTTTATCTACCATATTTGCCATAAGTATTTTTCCAATCTGTCATTTTTCTTTTGATTATATTGTTTTGTTTGTGCAGAAATTTTTTATTGAAATATAATCATACACATTTATCTTTCCTTAGCAACTTCCATGTTCTATCACATTCTTCCATTTTCTAGTAGTTCTGTCTTTTTTTTATCTAAAATTAGAAATCATTGAATTGGAATTCACTGAGATACTTTGTGGTATACAGTGGTGATCTAATTCCACTTCCTGCCCTATAGTTATCCAATTTTTCCAAGTACATTTGTTCTTAGTATTTTGATACTACAGTGGATCTCTGAACTAACTCCTCAATGTGGATATTTTCTCCAGTAATGTAGATTTTAATGTAGATTGCCTATCCCCTGTTATCCTAGGCAGCTCTTATCTGTATCTTCCTTTAAATTTTCCAAAGGGATCTACTCAACATGCAAGCCTTCATTTAGTTCTTGTGACATAGAATGGATAGCAGTGGAACTCATAGTTTGTTTCATAATATGCCATCATTATCCCTCACTCTTACCACTTGAAAGTTTATCAAACAGTAATCTTTTGTAAGCATTTGTATAATCTGATATCTCTGTTCCATACCACTAATTTGTTATTATTATTTTGCCCAGTGCCTTATAGTTTTGAGGATAACCAGTTTGTAATATATGTTAAAATCTGGGAGTATAAAACTATTGGCTTTCCCCTCTAGTTTGTGTCTTATTCTTGTTTTTGTTTTTCCATATATATAATTATATGTGTATAAAAATACACACACACATAATTTTCTCTAATTCCTTGGAATAACCCCTCAGTTTTTTTATTGTTATTGCACTAGATGTGTAAATTAATTTGGAGAGTATTGTCATTTTCTTCCTAATAATCTGATCCATCAATGAACATGGACTATTTCTCTATCTCAGTGTTTTAACATTTTTTGTTTTATAGACCTCTTTGGCAATCTGGTGATCCCTTTTAGTCCCTTTCCCAAATAATGTGTTTAAATGCTTAAAGTAAAATATATAGCATTTCAAAGGAAACTGATTATATTGAAATACAGTTATCAAAATAGTTAAATAACAAATCCTCAGGTTAACCCTTTATGCTTGTAGGTCTTTCTTTTGTTTCAATCATTACACTTATGGTTCTTAATAATAATCATAATACTTTTCGGTATTTACAAAGCACTTTTCACATGAACTCGTGTATTTGTAGTTAGACTAATGCCTTGTATTTGTTTTTTATTATTATTTTAAAGTTTCTTTTTATGCTGGTTTTTTTCCCTCTTTATTACTAGTAAATAAGCAGTGACTAAAGGGTTAATTTTGAGTCCTGCAATGTTCCTAAACTCATTGACATATTTTTTTTGATTGAGACAGTTTTGGTATGAGATTTGACAAATGAATCCTTGTTTATTCTTTATGAATTTTACAAAATTTGAGCATATGCCTTGTAATCATCCATCTTTCTGAAATGAAAAACCCTAACTTTTTTAGTTGGCCTTCACATAGACACTTCCTGATCATTTTAACCACCTCTTTTTGCTCATTCTTCAACTTTGTGTTTTTCTAAAAGTAGAGTGACTAAAATTCACACTGAATAACTGGTAGGAGCATGTCATATTTTTGTAAAAGTACAGAGAAATACTTTCTGGGCATTTCAAGTATGTCACTTTGTTGACTTTTTTTGGCTTCTGTAACCTTTGGTCTGATGTCTTTGGCATATAATCTGCAATAACTGAGATAACTGAGAGCTAATTATTTTACAGATATCATTTTGATTATTTTTTTTCCCTCAGTGGATCTGCTTCCCTTTACCTATACTGAAGCTTTACTATCACTTTTCTTTGGACTTCATCCCACTTTGTGAGGAATTCCTTTAGTTTATCTCTGTCTGTTATTTCACTGCATGGAAGGATTTTAGTGTCACTTCCAAGCTTGGAGATTTACTGTGTACTCCTTCCAGAACATTTACAAAATTTTAAATTACAAAGCTAACCACAGATCCCTGGAGGGATGAATGAATATATCTCTGTCCTAAGAAATACTTGCTTATTTATTATCATAAGGAAAATTATAATCATTATCATTTTTCATTTATAGAGAGCATAATAATAATTTCCAAAGCACATTTACATATAACCTGTTTCCTGTTGAATCAGAGTCATTTCTCTATTCATGACAAAACATTCACTTGTTGTTTGGTTGTTTCAGTTGTGTCTTCATGACCCCATTTGGGGTTTTCTTGGCAAAGATACTGGAATGGTTTGCCATTTCTTTCTCTAGCTCATTTTACAAATGAGGAACTGAGACGAAGATTAAGTGACTTGCCCAAGGTCACATATATAGTAAGTGTTTGAGGCCAGATTTGAATTCACAAAGGAATTTTCCTGACTCCAGGTCTGGCACTTTATCCACTTCACCACTTAGCTGACCCAAAACCTTCTTTTGTCTGGTCTTTGGTATGAACCTTGAGCAAAGGTCTTTTGAAATTCTGAACAGATGGTCCACATATACATTTGCTCCAATAGTAAGTTATTCCTTTACAGAAACTATTTTGTCTTTTTCTTATTAGGTTACACTTTCCACTCTCTATGGAAGGTAGATTCTACCAGCTTGATTACTGGGCATGTCACTCAAGCTCTCTGGGCCCCACTTTCTTCATCTATAAAATGAGGTGGCAACTAAGTTCCCCCAAAAAGAATGGAATACACCTCCTCCCTCAGAGTAGAGAGGTGGGAAACTATTGGGACAAAATATTTTATATGTTATCAGACATGGTCTTTGTTTTGGACTTTTTTGCTTACCAGTTTTTCTTTATCATAAAGGGAGGGTTCAGTCTGGAGAAGGGATGGACAATGACTGATAGACAAAAGGCACCAATAAATTTTTTTGAATGGGAAGTTTGGCTTATATGAACTCTAAGATACTTTTCAGTTCAGTAATTCAGTGTGAATTTTTTATTCATTAATTTATTTATGTCACTGATTTTTTAATTGCCAATATAAAAAGTAGGTACCACATGGTTTTGGCTAATAAAAGCTCATCTGAGTTTAGCCACTTTCATTTTCATTTTGTCTGTGATAGTGATCAGATTAAGATTTTCAGATGAAAGTTAAGAAGGACTCATGTAGCTGGATCTATAAACTGACATTGTTTTCATTCACTTTATGCCCCCAGTACCAAAAAGCTATACATCCCCTCCTCTTCTATTATATTAGTCTGCCTTTGGCAGAATTTGTTTTTCTCTTGTCCTGCTCTTCAGTACCCTTGAGGATTTATTGAAAACTGTTCTCTGAGGGATATTTCTTGAGGTCTCTTCTGAGCTTTTAACTCCAGTTACTCTAGAAATTCCTTCACAAGCCCAAGTGTGCCTAATTATCCTTAGGTCCCATCAGGTGCTCATGGACAGGAAATGGTCTTGGAGGAAATAGTACCCCTGGAAGGAGGCCAGGAGTCTTCAGGTGCCCAACTCCAACCCATGGATGCCAATCTGGAATGTGAATCTCCAGAACCACACACCCTACAAGACAATGGTGAGGAATAGGATTTCTTCTGGGGAAAAGAATGGAAGTTGGTTGGGGGAAATGCTCAGTCAGGGAGAGAATGTCAGACCTCCATTCCTTCTATTTCTTCTGGAAATAATGATAATGTTAACAAAAGAAGTAAGCAAATCAAATGGTAAATCAACACAATTTTATCACTGTTAACTTATATGTTCATCTGTATTGTGGGTAATCTACCTGTGAATTAATCTAGAACAGTAGTTCTCAAAGTGAGATAGTTTTAGGGGTCTACAAGGTCAAAGCCATTTTCATAATTCCGTAATTTCTTAATTTGTGATACAGTAAATATTGATGGATATAACCCATATAAACAAAAGCTCTTTGGTGGGCGAGGTCCTCAATTTTTAAGAGTATAAAGAGGTACTAAGGCCAAAAAGTTTGAAAACCACTGGAGTGAAGCATATACATGTAAAACCCAACCAATAATCTTTTGCCCTTCTAGGCACTGTTTAAATGAAGTGGCAGCCATTTTAAAGTTCTGGCACGTTAATATCCCCAGCTGACTTGATAACCTGTTAGATTTCTTATTATGACAAATGCCATACATTTGAGTACAGAAGAGAATCTAAAACAGTCATTTTTTTCTTAACCATTTATTTCGTATTTGGGTAAAAAATTGTGATAAAGTAAAGTAAACCTCTTCTTTTCCTTGTCACTTATTCTCAGCTACTCTCTCTTCTGTTTACAACCCTATCCTTTGATGCTAAGTTCATTTATTTCTGAATCCATCCATTTCTAACTTTCTTTTGATTCTCAACTGGTATCTCTTCAGTTATTTTTTCCCAACCCCTTCATCATCTGTGTCCATGCTTTTATAGTGCTCATCATCCTATCTGGGTACTTGTAATTAACATGCTGCTTCTTATACTTCATTTCCTTTATCTTGTCATCAAAAAGCATTTATTAAATACCTGATTTGCACATGACTCTGTGCTGAACACTTTATAAAGCTACAGTCACAATGTATTAGCTTTTAATCTATGTTAGACAACTAACATGATATATAGACAATAAATTACAGCAGAATTCATCACATAGTGGCTCAGCACTGGAAAGCTGGTACTTAAACTGCAGCTTAAGTGTAGATCTTTACATTTACACATGTAAGAAAAATCACCATAATTATTAGTCTTCCATTTCAAAGTAAATCAGTCAACAGCATTTGAACAGCTGTGTCTTGCTGAGTCTGTGCTAAGTCCTGTGAGGAATATAAAGTAGGATCCATTCCCCCAAGAAGCTTGCACTGTTTTGGGAGAGTCAACTCACAAATAACAAAACATTACAGAAAACAAAAATTGTGTGATAAAGGCACTGTGCCAAAGGAGTTCAAAGAAAACAGATCTCTGTACTGGAGTCATCAAGAGAAGGCTTTTTGGAAGATTTGAGATTGATGTATTACAGTTGACAATTTATGAACATTGGATCAGAGGCTCAGTAAAAAATGTAACTTTAGATGGGCCTGGTATGTAAAATGATAGTGATTATAATATTTTTAAAAATTGAAATGACTATTAGCCAGCTCCTTTCAGGCACTTCCAAGTAGAGTTTATTTGATAATTATGAATTAGTCTTATCTCATCATTAAAAAAAAATCTTTCAAAAGACCTTTACTTAACAGTGCTTTATATGAATAGTTTTAATTTCTCTATATACTTGATAACAATAAGCCAATGGACCATAATTCAGACTTTCCACTGGTTTGTACTGACTTCCCATACCCTTCCCATTAGTTCATTATTAATAAGTTGTGTCTTTATGAATGAAACAAACTGTGAAACCAAGACATCAAAATTATGGCACAGACCCCAGATGTGGGCAGAACAGACAACTTGACTGTCTCAAACTTGAAATAAAGATTAATTTTGGACACTAGCTAGTAGACGTTAATTACTGTTCTTGTTCAAGCTCATCTGGCCAAAGACTTTTCCCTATGTAGTAATTGTTATTAGTGTTAGTAATAATAATGCTAATTTGCCCATTTCACATAGAAGAGGTTTTGTTTAAAGCTAGTCCACAATACTTCCCAGGAAAATTCTTTTTTCCCTCTTATATCATCACTCTGTAATATCAGGTCTCCCTTAGCAACTAAAAGTCATGGGAAAAGGGCTAGACTGGCTTCAGGTAACCTGGATTATTGTCATGGCCCTCCTGAGTATCAGTTTCCATATACATAAGATGAGGAGGATAAAGTAGTTGATTTATAAGGTCCCTTCAAATTCTACCATTCTTTGATTCTCTTTCCACTTTAATCTTCCTTTTGTAAACTGTTCATATTTTCAGGTTTGGCCTTCTTGAAATAAGGTTTTGTATTTCCCTTTTGTCCTTTACCTCCCATCAGACTCTAGGAGCTTCATAAGGTAGTATTTACCTTCCTTATTACACACCTCAAAGTTCTGAATGGTTGCTTTGTGTTTTTAGGATTTTTGTGGTTCTCCATGATGTCTCAACGTGCAGGAGATAAAGACATTGTTAGTTCAAATGGAGGTGAAGTGGAAATACAGCCAAAAAGCATGAGAGAAAAGTTCCTTAGCGATCTTGCAAGTCTACTGAAAAGCAAAAGTAATAACACAAAGATATTTTCTAAAGAGAAATACTGTCAACTCATAAAGGAAGTAAAAGAAGCTAAAGCAAAGGCAAAAAAGGAATCCGTTGATTATCGCCGTTTGGCCAGATTTGATGTGATCCTTATACAAGGAAATGAGAAACTGATTGAGGCTGTTAATGGAGAGACAGAAAAAATACGATATTATTTACACAGTGAAGACTTATTTGACATCTTGCATAATACACATCTCAGTATTGGTCATGGTGGGCGTACCCGTATGGAAAAAGAGTTGCAACCAAAATATAAAAATATCACAAAAGAGGTTATAATGTTATACTTAACTCTTTGCAAGCCTTGTCAACAAAAGAATTCAAAGCCACCAAAAAAATGTATTGTGTCTAAGCCCATGAAGGAAGTTAATTCAAGATGCCAAGTTGAGCTCATTGACATGCAGTTAAATCCTGATGGAGAATACAAGTTTATTATGAGTTATCAGGATCACCAAACAAAATTAAGTTTTTTGCGGCCATTAAAATCAAGAAGGTCTGAGGAAGTGGCCCATGCTTTGTTGGATATTTTTACGATTATTGGAGCACCCAATGTTTTACAGTCTGAACACGGAAGAGATTTTTCAAGCCATATCGTCAATGAACTGAGCATGATGTGGTCAAAACTAAAAATTGTCCATGGAAAGCCTCGGCCCTGTCAGAGCCATGGTTCTGTGGTACAGCCTAAGTACGACATCCAGAGTATGATGATTTCCTGGATGCAAAAGAACAACTCCTTGCACTGGTCAGAAGGTCTTTGGTTCATTCAAATGATGAAAAATCAACCCTTTCACAGAAACATGCAGCACACTCCGTGTGAAATTGTATTTGACTCTGGAAACAAAGTTGATCTGTCTACTTCTAATTTAGCTGAAGACATTGTCCATCTGAACACAGAGGGTCATTTAGAACAGTCTGAAAAAAAAGCAGAAAGTAGCCTGAAAGTTAATGAGGCTGGAAATGACAGTAATGACGTGGAAGAGAACCTTAATATAACAACTCCTAAAGTACCTGAACTCACTTCTCCCACTCAGGGCAGCCTAAATTTTTCATCCTGTGTGGTTTGTGAAAAAGAATGGACTGGTGCTCATTGTAAATTGTGTAATAGGGATGTCCATGCAGTCTGTGGCATATCCTCCTGGGATGAGGTAGAAGGATGTAGCCCAAAAGTCACATGCAGTTTTTGTTGTGGGACTCAAACAATGAAAAGGAAGCATACCAATACCCATGGAAGTTTGCCTACCCAGGCAACCAAAATGCTGAAACAATCAGAGTCTAAGTTTTCAACAGCCAAAGTTGGAGATTGAGTGAGAGTTTGAATGTCGAATATAAGTTGAGACTGAAGGAAACCTAGAAGCTGAGATCTTGATGAGTGATAAGGGTATAAGTATGATATGGAGCATGTTTGACTGAAACAAAGTTCTTTGAAGTTATGGCCATTGTGAAGTCAATGTTTGTATAGAAGGGCTAATGATTTTGAATGATGTTTCTAAAGAAGAAGGTTAGAAGCTGTAACTTTCAGTCACATCTCTATTATTGGCCTGTCATTGTGGATTTTAGACCTATAGTTCCTTTTTGGTGGAAGGCACTGGGAATAGCTAAGAAATAAGGGTCCAAAGATGAGTGTAGGGTGTGTGTGTGTGTCTGTGTGTGTCTGTTTGTGTGTCAGTATGTAGGGTATGAAGGTAAGATTTGGGAAAGATTTTATGTTAAGTAGGGAAATTAAAGTGAATTTGGGTGGGGAAGTCAGTTGAGACATGGTATTAACTTGTGGTGAGAAGTATGAGTGTGGAGGCTACAGGTTGGTTTATTTGGGCAAGAGTTGAATTCAGCAAGGACATAACATTTCAGATTTATGTTCCAATGATGACGTTAGGTAGAGGAGAATTGAAGTCAGACAGTGGTTTTGAGATTAAGAGGTATGTGCTCAAGTCAGGATTTTTGAGGCCAAGTAAGCTTGGCCAAATTGGATGAAGGGGCGAATTCAGACAGGAGGGTGGGTTATTTTAGGGTGGAAAATGCAATCAAGTAGAAATAGTGAGTTTAACTGGTAGGAGGTGAGTTTAAGCAGGGGATTTGGGAAGTGGGCTAGGGAGTTTAAGTTGGAGGAATAAGGATAGTTTAGCCTAAGAGTTGGGCACTTTGAAATGAAGCAGGATGGATGACTGTGGTAGTGAAATGAATTTGAGCACAGTGTTTCAGGTCTTTGGGGCAGTATCTGGGCAAATATAATGAGTTGAGAGCAGAGGAGTAGTTTTTATATTGCTTCCCTGGCATCTAGACTGAGCCCTACAGCCTTTATTAAATTGCACACAGACCAGTGAATGAGCAGAATGTCAGGTCAAACAGGGCATTGGAGGTCCAGTGAGGGACTGAGGATTTAGGTGTTTGGAAGAATATGGAACATACCAAAATCATTATAGAAAGTGAGATCCAGGCAATGTGATGCTGAAAGATGCCTAGGTAAAACTAAAGATTTTAAAAATTCAAAATGCCACTAATACTTCAGATTTTTTTTTTAATAGAAATGTGAAAACTGACAAAGGGCTGGCTTCCCAAACTGAGGAACTGGGGAAAAAAAAGATTTTCTAACCCAGCTCTGCAACCGCCTTCGTGTTATATACTCTGTTGTATTTTGATTTTAATAAAACCTGATAGCCTTTACAAAATTCTGTTTGGGCGGGATTTAAGGTGCCTTTCTTCCTGTTCTTTTACTTTGCCATCTCCCTTTAACTGGTCATCATACGGAACTGAAGTCTATGGTTTTTTTTTTAATCTTGTATTCATTGAATAAAGGTTTATGTTCTTTATTTTAAAATTTTTTTTTAAGCATGGAGATTAACATGTTTCTAAGTATATACATATATATTCTCTCAAACTGGTCAAACAGAATGTCAGCCTGGCAGACTTGGAACCTTGTCTCTAGCCTAGGTTCTGCAAACTTTCTAGCTGAGTGGCTTGGGGCAAATCATTTAATCTTGTTGGGATCCATTTTCTTCATTGTCAAAATGAGAAAGTTTGCACTATATGATTGACTAAGGCTACTTTCAACTCTAATGTTCAAATTGGGGATTTTTTTTGGTTGTTTTTCTGTGGGTCTTTGATAGAAAAATCACATTTTCCCCTCTCTCCTAATCTTTTCAAGTAACTGGTAAGTCAAGGCAATAAGCACTGATTAAGTTATCTACTACATGACAAAGAAAAGCTAGATAAAGGACCAGGTGGATATAATAAATTGAGGAAAGGTGCTAGCATTGAAGGTCAGGAAAAAGCTTCTTGTAAAAGGTCAGATTTTAGCTGGGACTTGAAGGAAGCCCAAGACTAGATGAGGATAGATAACATGCCGTACCTGGGACAGCCAGTCAAAATGCCCAGTCAGGAGATAGGAATGTCTTGTTTGAGAAGGGACATATACAAGAGATGTTATTAACATAAGCTCAACAGGACTTGGGAAATGATTGGATATGGGAGGGTGAGCATATAACCTAATCCTCAGTGTTATTTGGTTTAGCCAGGATTTGTGACTTCCCAAAAGGCAAATGATATTGTCTTATGACAGAACTTAGAAGTTACGTTTCTTCTCCATACCTTGGTCTCATTTATTTATTATTAACACAAGGACCTTAGTCTCATTCAAATAGCCTCCAAATAGTAGGTCTTCAAGATACCAAACTTAAGCATTTATTACAAGAACCCTGGGTAAGACTGTATAGTAGGTGGTTTTTCTTTTCTTCCTCCTTAATTCCCCAGCCTTTGCCATTTTCCTTGGTTTTCAGGAACAATACCTTCCTCATACCCTGTCACCTAGCGTTCTAAATCTAGAGGATCTGAGGAATCAGGGAGAATAATATCAACCAATCAAAACTAATATTCTAGGGGCAGCTAGGTGGCACAGTGGGCAGAGTGCCTGGCCTGAAGTCAGGAAAATGAGTTAAATTTGGCCTCAGACCCTAGGCAAGTCACAGCCTCTGTTTGCCTCAGTTTCTTCATCTATAGAATGGAGGTAGTAATAACACCTACCCCCCAGGGTTGTTACTGAGGGAATGAATTTTGTGCAGGGCCTTGAAGCACAGGAAATCAACAAACAATATGTAGGTATTTCCCAATTTGAGGAAATAGGATTTCTAAGTTCTAGAAGTGGGAAAGGCAAATTGAGTTTGGGACAGTGAGTAGTCTAGAATGGCTACAGTGCAAGGATTTTCAAAGGAGCAAGGAGAGAGAGTGAAGCACCACTGGTGGCATGGTGGATAAAGTGCTGGCCCTGGAGTCAGGAAGACTCATCTCCCTGAGTTCAAATCTGGCCTTCAGACACTTACTAGCTGTGTTACCCTGGGTGAGTCATTTAACCCTGTTTGCCTCAGTTTCTTCATCTGTAAAATAAGCTGGAGAAGGAAATGGCAAATGTCAAACCCAGAAAATAAATGACAAAAAAGTCATAGAGGTTATGCAACAACTGTTAACTCTGAAAATACCAAAGAGCTCACAAAGGTTATACAGCAACTTCCAAAAGGTTATAAAAAAAAAAACCCAGAAACTGATGCTTATGGATCCTGAGTTCACTTAGCACCCCTCTCCAACCTCCTATGCTGTCTGCAGCAAGGCTGCACTAGCAGACCCAAGTACACAACACAGGCTTACATCAAACTTGCCCTTCACCTCATCTCCCCTCCCTCTTTTCAGTGCTATGAAGACCCCAACTCCAGGCTGTGGATGTTAGTTTGGGACTCAAAAATCAGCTTCGCTGTATCCCTACAGGAACAGTAATTTGCTGAGGGCTGTAACCTGGAAGTATCAGCACTGCAAAGTTCTGAACTGTTGATGCTGGGGAAAACAGGTTCTGAACTGCCAGTGCCAAGTCAGAGAACTGAGGAACATGAGGAATGGGACAAGTCACCAGGACAGGACACCATGCATATGAGGGGGGGCAGGGAGAGGGGCTGTGTAGGACTCCACCAAGCCTGAAAGAAGAGCACAGCATCCATTTGGGGCCAGTTCTGATCATCCAAAAGTCAAGTAGGGCAGAGACCTAGAGCTGTGAATTGTTAATTGAGGCATTTTGAGATCTATCTCCCAAGGAAACCATAATTACAGAGGAGGGAGTCAGGAAGTGAATGATAAGAATAATAAGGTAGGATGGAGGGAGATTGATAGTACCAAAGATTTCATTAAGAAGAAATCTCAAGAACATAAATAGTTAAGTCAACAGGAAAAACAGTAGCAACAAAAGGAAATATGACTTCCAGGTCTAGTTAATGAATTCAAGCATCTATGAATAAATACTACAAAGTAAAGGAAAATGATTCAACACTTGATGAGATAGAGAACCTTGTGGAATTTGAGGAGAACATGGAAAGGGCCTAATGAACCCAGACTCAGGTTGGGGTGGAAAATGTGATCTGCTGTACGAAAATAAAAGTATGGTTCCAAACCTAGAATAAGTTGCAGAGTCTTAACAATAAAAGAGAAACTTGTAGAATGTCTCCATGTTCACTGGGTTTGGCTGAGCTCTGTCCTTTGTGTCAATCAACGGGTACTTATTGACTCTCTACTGCCCGTTACTGTGCCAGTGACTGATACAAAGAATTCTGCGACATAGCGCCTACCTACAAGGAGTTTATAATCTAGTCAAGCCATTGGTGTTTCAGTCATATCCAACTTTTCATGACCTCCACTTGGTGGGGGTAGGGTGGTGCATTTCTTGGCAAAGATACTGGAGTGGTTTGCCATTTCCTTCTCCAGCTAATTTTACAGATGAGGAAACTGAGGCAAATGGGGTTAATTGACTTGTCCAGGGTCAGCATCTGAGGCCAGATTTGAACTCATGAAGATGAGTCTTCCTGATTCCAAGCCCAGTGTTCTGTCCGTGGTGCCACCTAGCTGCCCTTAATCTAGTCAAGACCACAGTAGTAAACAACTAGAGAGGTCATATTAGCCAATCTGATAGGTGTGAAGTGGTACCTCAGAGTTGTTTTAATTTGCTTTTTTGAATCAAGATTGATTTAGAGCATTTTTTCGTATGTTTTAGATAGCTTTGATTTCTTTGTCTGAGAACTGTGTGTTCTCCTTTGACCATTTATCGACTGGGAAATGACTTGTATTCTTATAAATTTGACTCCATTATGTACTTGAGAAGAGACTTTTATCAAAGATACTTACTGTACACTTTCCCCCCACTTTTCTACTTTCCTTCTAATTTTGGTTGCATTGGTTTTATTTGTGCAAAAACTTTTAAAATTTTATATAATCAAAATTATCCATTTTATATTTCATGATGCTGTCTATATCTTGTTTGGTCCTAAATTCTTCCCTTATCCATAGACCATAAACCATTCCATGCTCTCCTAATTTGCTTATGGTATCACCCTTTATGTCTAAATCATGTATACATTTTGACCTTATCTTGGTATAACAATGAGATATTGGTCTATACCTAGTTTCTGCCATGCTGTTTTCAAGTTTTCTTAGCAGTTTTTGTCTAATAATGAATTTTTGTCCCAAAAGCTTGGATCTTTGGCTTTATCAAACACTAGATTACTGCAGCCATTTACTACAATGTACTTTGTTCCTAATCTATTCCACTGATCTACCACCCTATTTCTCAGCCAGTAACAGATTGCTTTAATAATCATCACTTTGTAATACAGTTTGAGATTTGATACAGCTAAGCCACCTTCCTTCACATTAGCATGGGGAGAAACTTGAGGTAGAGAGACCAACCAGAAGGCTATTGCAATAGTCTGGATATGAAGTGAGCCATTATTATTCTGCTACCACCTAAATTAACGTCGTAGTTTGATAAGGAATCCCTATGGGTAGTAAGGTCTGGATCAGGTCTGGATTCATACTAGGTCACCTTTCAACCTCCACTTGACTTGTCCCCCTAAATATTTAATTTTCTCATCCTGAGCTCTATTGCAATCCAAGGGGCATGACTGAAGATTTTCTTTCTAACTAATAAAATTACTATCACTTTTTCATTAATTAATTAGATTGAGCCCCTATACCAGTTCATTAAATACTAGAAACCTAATTTCCCACTCAAACAATTTATTAACAAATGGAAACAATAATCAAATAGATATTTGTAACTATTTACAATATTTTGGCTAC